CACAAGGAACTCCAACTCTTGAAGCGTTACAAATCACCTGGCCCAGATGACTTACCCCCGGCTCTTTTTAAAGATGGTGGTGACTTTTTGACTAAGGAATTGACGACGTTGTTTACAAAGGTGTGAAAGCTAGAGAGTGTACCAACGTCATGGAATGAGTCGATAGTTGTCCCTATCTTTAAAAAGGGTTCACGTCGTTCCTGCAACAACTATCGGGGGATAAGTCTACTTCCGATTGCGTCCAAGCTATTGGCTTCCGTCATACTTCGTAGGTTGTTCAAAACTCGAGAAAGATTGACTCGCGAAGAGCAGGCTGGGTTTCGTTCTGGTCGAGGATGTATGATAATATTTTCACCCTCCGCCAAATGTTAGAACACCGCCATACTTACCAAATGCCAACAATCATAGTGTTTCTTGACATCAAGGCTGCCTTCGATTCGTTGGACAGGACTGTTCTCGGGGATTGTCTATTGAAGAAGGGTGTGCCTGAGAAGTTTATTAACATCCTAAAAGCCCTATATACAAACACCTCAGGGAGAGTGAGGGCATACAACCACCTCTCTCCATTGTTCCATTCGAGTAGTGGGGTTAGGCAGGGTTGCCCAATCTCACCATTCCTCTTCAAATTTGCCAACGATGACACTCTGGAAACAGCTCTGATGGATGTAAATAATGACGGTGTGGATCTGTTGCCTGGAGAAAGACTTCTCGACCTTGAGTATGTGGATGATATTGTCTTACTGTGCGATAATGCCCAAGGCATGCAATCCGCACTTAATCAGTTGGCAATCAGTGTCCGTAGGTATGGTATGTGCTTTGCACCTTCGAAGTGCAAAGTACTTCTACAAGACTGGCAGGATTACAATCCTGTACTCACCCTGGATGGTGAGCAGATAGAAGTAGTCGAGAAGTTCGTGTATCTGAGTAGCTGCATAAGTGCTGGTGGTAGCGTGAGTGATGAGATTAATGCACGTATAGTGAAAGCTGGAACGACTTATACCAATCTGGGCCGTCTTTGGCGCCTTCGTGATGTTAGTCTGGCTGTAAACGGTCGGATCTACAACGCGTCGATGAGAGCGGTTCTGCTCTATGCTTGTGAAACCTGGCCTCTTCGAGTTGAGGATGTTAGACGACTCTCTGTGTTTGATTTTCGTTGTCTCCGAAGGATTGCCGACAACCAGTGGCAACAACATGTTAGTAATGCAGAGGTTCGGCATCGTGTTTTCGGGTGCACAGATGATAATCCATTTGGCGCCACTATCATGAAACATCGACTTCGGTGGCTTAGACATGTATTTTATGTATGTCGTCCCAGAGAATTCCACGTCGTGCATTATTTGCCGACTCTGGGACTGGTTGGAAGAAGCGGAGAGGTGGTCAGAGTATGACATGGTGTCGGGGTATGAAAGAAATCCGCAAATGGCTGGCTTGTGTTCACGATTCCATGGCTGGGGTCCGAGAGATGATGCAACACAGTGGCTAGAGACGTTATCAGATATGGCTCAGAATAAAAGCCGGTGGCGATCCTGCTGCAACCTTCCTTTACTTTCTTCATAAAAAGTGGTTGTGTCTGCCTTAACTGAAAGATTTCTTCTGATTGTTCCTTTCTGTTCCGCCATTTTTACCCTTATTATTATTACACCACCTTACATCAATCTTTTTTTCTGCTTCCTCTTAAATTCTCGTTGTTTTGTGTGGCGCATATATATTTGGCGCATTATTGTACCAATATTTATGCGTTCAAATAAATAAATAAATTTTTTCTACAATTTTATACCCCCTCACATCCTTTGATTTGCTATTAGTCCTTACTTCTTTAAACCATTAGTTATCTTTATAGCAGTGTGATATACTATGTGGACATCTAACCCATAAAACAAACTTTTTAACTACCTCATTTGCTTGTAACTTGGACCTAGTAGAGATAGTGTATTCCAACTATGGGCTTTGATTAAAGCAGTATTCATACTTACCACAAACGTAAGAGAGCCCAACATCACAAAAGGAGGGAGGGTGGCGTTACTGACCAGCAAACACGATGGTGGGGAGATAAATTCAATCCACCCATGTCTGTATAGCAGAACATTTTGTTTAATTACGGCTCCTTATGGTTTAGTGGGATGTTACGAACTTATGGTATAGAAGCTGATTTATCATGCAAAATACCTCATTAAATTGTGTTACGAATGTTGAATTGGTTTCACTTTCTACCCAGTAATCCTACTACAAGCAAACTAGATAATTCGATAATATACGAAGCCTACTCAAGACCCTATGATACCTAAAAATTAAAAAAATAATACAAAAAGAGATGGAAAGGGCTCCAACAGCTTCGATAAAATAAAAGTAAGATAGTCACATGTATATCAGAATAACTGTTTTTAGCACTATATTTTATGATTACACATAATCTCATACTTTCAGCTTCTTTCTGAATCCCCTCCATTTGTCAGTTGTATGTCCATTCATACCTTGTTTACACTTATTTTCTTTAACCTATTAAAATGCTCTTGCTTAACAAATACCTTAATAAAAGAAAATTAAACTGAGTAATCATACCTTAAATATTCCTTCATGAAAATTGGCTACTCTGCCTCTCGTGTTTTCTTTTACTTGCTCTCTCTTTCACCCCCCTTGAGATATGGAACTGGTGACTTCATCCTGCACCATCCTTAAAGCCTTGAATATTCCAAAGGGACATAAGGTTGCGATTTCTGGAAGCTCATACCTTCGTCCTTGACCATCAATTGCATATTCGCAACGCGACTTTCATGAAGCGCGCCAACGGTGATACTGACTAAAACCATCTACATTCATATCTTTTAAATTATCAACCCAGCTGAGTAATTTACTACAGTGGGTATTGTATCATTTGTAGGAATTTGACCTTGCCTGTAAACTGGCATGCCTCATGTAACAAACTGTTATTTGAGAATAAATTATTATTATTATTATATAAAAATCCCCAAAACGGACAGATTCACAGTTGCACTTAGGTGTGACAGATCACGTCGGTCTAACCAATGAATGATGGCACATGTATTCAATGTTTGAAAACGCTTTTACCAGCAACACATTCTAATATAATTTGTACCAACCAAGAGAAATCAAAAGACAGAGTCGAGCAGATCGGAAGAGTGTATTTGGCGATAGCCAATATATCGGAATTCTCTGATCTAATCTGGCTAGCGATTGCGGTAGATGTTGAGCACAGCTTTACCACACGTGATCTGGTGCGGATGCATGACCGAGCGCCTTCAGCTAGACGAGTCCACTAAAACATATGGTCAGTATCCAATGTCGAAAACTTACAGAGCTATTTATTTTGGGGATTTATTTACCGCTACAGGTTCATGGAGGTATGTGTGTGTTCCTTTGTAGACTTATTTCGATATAGCAACCGATGGACTAGGAAATAAATAATGGACCTGGTTCTTCGTGCCCTGGACAACATGTCGATCTCTATAGGGAGTGATGATCTGCTAGAGAAGTTCACTAACAACTACCACTCAATCCATGCTCTTAGTGAACCTTTGGCAAGTAAACTCATCCGTTTATGCCTCGAAGCATTGGAAGACATATGCACACAAGTGATTAGTTCAATCGGTGCTAATGATGAAGCTATATCGTCAGAATCCATTTTTAACACTGACCATAGCTATGCTTCTTGATAACAAGAATTTCTAATATTGTAATCTTTTTAGATTTACATAGATTTATTTATATGGCCATTAACTTATTCTTATAGCGTAACGGCAGGGAGAGTGTACTGTGCAGTCTTATGTGGTTGTGAGGCAGGGATGTTTCGCGTTCTTGTGTAATAATTACCAGTTTGGCGCACACGCGATTAGTCATGTATACCGCTTACCAAATACTGCAACTGTGGACATGGTGTACCATACTAGTAGCTCGAATTCTGACCTATCACGATAGATAAGAATTGCCGTAATTAGAAGACTGATGTGTTATAAATGAAAACGTTTATTAAAGCTTAAATCTAGCACAAATGATCTACTCATAAACAAATTCTATTTCTTAGGATTTGTCTCCATTAGGTCTGTGAACACTTGCGAAGCCAGCTGGAAATAAGATAGACAGGAAATAGTTATTGCAGTATAAATGTTTACCAGAAACTAGTGTAAAAACAGAAACCAATATTCAATTACAGATCGAAAGTGCATTTAGCACACCCTCTCTTTGGATAATCAATCACGCTTATTTTTTTAAGCTCTTGCGTTGCATAGGAAAGTCTGGGTGAATTATTACCTGGGTTTAACTGTGAACACGTTTTGGCGATATCATTCTTGGTAAGCTGTTTATGGAACTTCTAAGAAACCATATGTCGTAAGCTACGAGTTGGTGCATTACTCAGTAGAAACGCTTTTAAATACAAGCGTCCACTTGACGTCAATTGTCGTCTCGATGGATCGAAAGAAATGCACACTTCTGTGCAAAGATAGTTGTGCACGGTTTTAATAGAGGTGACTTTCAGTCCAACATTTACTGCCCGGACGCAAAATCCAGATTGACAATGGCAATATTTCGACCTGAAGGATAAATACATTTGAAGTAAGGCATACGTAGATGACCGACGTCGTCTCCTTTGTCTAGGCTGTGTTGACGAGTTAGAAGTTTTAAGCTCTTCAGAAGAATGATGATTAATATCATCATTTACATCCTGAACGAAATCATATGACTCTGACGAACTGCGTTTACGTCCATATGTACAGACATATCTTACGAAAAAGTACTTTAGAGTTGAATCATCACTGTTCTTTTTGTATACTGACATAACGTACTTAGTATGCGTATACTAAAAAAATAATTATTATCCACAGAAGTCAAATAGGTCTCAAAATTTTCCCAACTTGTAAGTCTTCGAGATAACACAATATCATTGAAGATTCGTCCTATATCATGCATCATCACGATGGCATCGTCTTCGTTACTTGAAAAATGAACGTTGTCAGACATGATGTGGCTGAACTCAATTCAAATCTAAAAATGTCTTGTTTTGACCGCTTCTGAAACTTTTCACGAATTGTCGGTGTGACGCACCAATCATTCTGCGACAGTTTGACCTTCAAGTGCTCGCAACCTCAACAGTGAACGATACCCCTGAAGCGTTGCCAGTAGCACAGTAGTCCATATTGGCAGATGTGTTTTGTTCTAAATGCTTTTTCGTTTGCTCTATGGTGTTTTTGAAACGCTTATCGTTTACATATGCCAAGAATGTTATTAATGCGGGAAGTATTATCCTAAAGTTATTTGCGTTTTTCAGACTTGCTGTCCTAGGACACGAAAGTAACACTCGAACTGAAGGATCTATCCTGTGCCTAAAGTTAGGTAGATAACTTTTCTTTTTGAGTTTTATTCGAATTAGTAATTATCCATGGTTTCGCTTGAGCTTACCATCCGGTTTTAAAGTTTTCACGTTTAGAGTCCAGTTTTAGTATTTTTAAGTGTTTGTAATATCCGCTTTAAATACATTGCTCTTTTAACTTGTAAACTATTTCAATTTTGTTAACAGCTTATACTCCAGCGTCGTCACTAAAACCATGTGTAAGCAACCTGATGTCCTTTTGGCGTCAACTGTGTTATGCACTGTGACGGGTCAGTTAGTAACAATGTAGAACTTCGAACGTACGTACATCAGTTCGAGTTGCTATACCATATTAGCACAGATATGCAGTTTTCGATTCAAATCCCATAGTAGTAGATGTAGTAAGAGTAAAAGCAGTAATCGGAAACATTAGGACTTGAAGATGTTATTCAAGAAGTACAATGCAGTGAAATAAATTTGGAAAGAAAAAAAAGGTATATGAGAAACTCAGAAGATTAGAATTTGGGAGAACATCCGGCTTTAAGCCATGTTATTCAAGGTCTCTAACCATCGGTCGCTATCATCTCGCGGATCCCAACCAGGTAGTTTACACCTACCAACATGGTTCAGTCCACTTGTCAGTGACTTCATGGATTTGTGCCATGTTGTGGTCTGGCCGCCCCTAGCTTTCTTCCAACCTACTCCTATACCATTGAGTATCGTGCGTCGAGGCAGTCAGTAGTTGGGCATGTAACACGTGTCCCAGCCATCTCAACGGATGAAGTTTTACTACTTCATCAATTGATTTGCCATCCTTACCTAGTACCCGTCTCCTAACAACTACATTACTTACTCAGTGGTCCCAGGATATACGAACAATGTTTCGAAGACATATATGATCGAATACTAGTAACCTGCGAATATCCTCTACTTTTACCGGCCGTGTTTCACTGCCATAAAGTAGGAAGGAACAAACTGCTGCACAGTGAACCCGTCCTTTGACTGATAGACGGATATCTCGCCTACACTTAAAATGACACAAGTTGGCAAAACTATTCAAGCCTTCTGTTCTTCACGAGCTTTGATTAGGCGTCGAAGAATTATTAAAGGTAATATTTTAGAAACTATATTAGTCAAAACGATTCCTCTGTGATTGTCACAAAGGGACTTTTGTCCTTTCTTATAGACTGGTACAATCAATTATTGAAACCAGTCAAATGGAATTACGTCCAGTTCTCAAATTCTACCTAAGACCTCAGTCAATCTCGCTGCTAATACTGGACAACCATCCCTAAAAATCTCAGGAATAAACTTGTCAAGGCCTGTTGCTCTCCCTCGCTTCACATTTCCTATAGCTTTTTCAGCTTCGTAAAGAGTCGGAGGACCTACATTAATTTGCCATTCAGGTAGACCGGAGATCGTGGGAAACCGAAGTATGGCTGAAGGCCAGTTGAGCTGATCCCTAAAGTATTCTGCTCATCGATCTGATCTCCTGGGTTGAGAATGAATAATATGTTCATTTTTTTCTGAGAGAGTTGACGGATGAAAAGATTGGTTTCACAAAATGTCCACAAACGTAACTACAATCTCAGTAAACCAGATCTGAAGTGGGCTTGTGGCACTTGAGACATGAATGCCGATGATTTGCTGAGCAGTGTCAGGATTTCCTTGACACCTTTGCCGCAAGAATGCCAGGGACTCTGAAAAAGGCAGTTCTAAAGCTGAAAAACAAACGAAGATGCTCAGTGAGGTAAATAAGCGGGACTTCGACAACATCAATATTTATGGAACAAGCACCAGAACTAGTAAGGACATTCTGAAACGTAGTAAACTCTCAGTAAGTTTGCGTCCCTTAGGACAGCTTCTTTAAATCCAACTGTTGTTCCGAAAAGTTCTACTGCAGGCGATCGGACTTTCATCAACAGGGTTTATCGACTACCGTCGGAAGTTTTCAACAGCTCAGATCCTGTAAAAACACTAGTTAATGAAGCAGTTGTTCAATTATTCCTAGGAATATCAGGTTACTTAACAAAAAGCACGAAAATCTGGAACGTAATTCAACTTTCAAACAATATTAACTCTAGCTTCAACGTACTTGAAGACTTGTATGTAAAGTAGTTTCCCCTCTCTCCAAAGGGGTAAAAATATACAAAAACGCACCCAGAAATCAGTTCAGGAACTCAACTTCTAGCCTTACGAAGAGCGCTTTAATTCACTAAATGTTTGCCCATTGGAGTATATGCGTCTCTAATGTAACCTACTGATTTATATCTGTCTGACATATATTCCAATTACTCATGGGAACCATCAAATACTTGTGTAAGCTCAGCCCCAACACAAACACTAAAATTACAGACGCAACATAGCAGAATGGACTGCAGGGACACCTACTCTAGGAGTAGTGAAATTCTGGGATCTACTGCTAGCTGAGATAGTCCAAGCCACTTCCCGAGAGTCCTCCAAGAGAAAACTTGACATATTTTTAAGGACGGATGATAGTATTTCACTATAATTTACAAACATTTCCTTTTTGTTTGTTACATATATCTTGGTTCCCAACTGGAGGCATCGGTGACCCACTGCTACTAAATACAGAAACTCGTTAAGTGGAAGCTTCTATCCCGTCCACAGCCATTCGAGTGGGACTTCATCAATGTCAACAAGACTTTTTTTAAGTTCAGTGTTGTACATATTTTCTTTTGTCCCTCCTACCAAGATTTGACTCAGTGTTTTGTTATGACGTTTGCTGTCATAATATGCCCATCTTTTTTATTAAAAGTTATTACTTCTCGATATATCAAACTGAATATAACCAATGCAGTCGAATGACTAAACGAGGACCAAACAGATGTTACCAAAGAGAAATCAATCTATTTATATAAGATTGTCACAGAAATATTAGCATAAATATGAGTCGTTTATTTCTAACTTAAATTACTGGCGTTACCAGTTAAGGTTCGTTATTTGTCCACATACTCGCCTCCGAGTATCCTTTACAACTGTGTTACTGATGAAGTCCTAGAAAAAAAAGATTTGTCTTTTGTTGTTCTCTATAGTCTCATGGTTGATCCACTACCGTCTACAAGTCAAACACAACCCAGTAAGCCTTTTTCAGTGGACATTAGAGATTTTTTTGAAAGGATAATGAGACCCCGGCACCTAACATCCTGGAATCAAGTTGAAGAGGCCATAGATCTTTTGCAGAAAGTTTGTTCCATAAAAATTGGCTAACATACGTAGATGACCTATACACACTATGTAGTTAGAGAAAGCAAATTAAATAAAGAAGAGCCTGGACTCCATTACCACTATGTTGTGTATGTGTGCACTTTTGGCCACAAAAGAAAGCCTGAAGGTACTGGGCAAAGAGTTAAAGGGTAACTAGCTGTTATTATACTAATAGCTTTTTAGATCAAAATTCACTGGCTGTAAATCCATGTTTAGAATCAGATATGAGCATAACAGATATATAATACCGGCTTCTAAAACAGTACACAACCATCCGTGCGACAGGGAATATTTAACAAACGACCCTTGGTCCAGAAAGCTCAGCCAAGACCAGTTGCAAGTTCTAACCCCGATGATCACAGTTGGTTCAGAACCAAATGAAATAATTAAATATGTTGATGAAACCTTCAACAAAACCATTACGTTCAACGATTATAAGAATCTCCGACACAAAGTTGCTAAAAGTAAGTTTCCTTATAGTTAAAGATTGTCAGGTTGTAGAATTCAAAAGGTTGGTCTTACAAAGGTAGATTGTTTGACAGCCGTATAAATGTCACGATAATGTCGGTCAAATTTCCAGAGTATGCTTTATTAAATTATGTGTAAATTGTAAATGTATAAGTGGTTTCTTGAGATAATTGTTATCGATTCCACATATACAAACAAAAAGTAAAATGATCCCACTTGATAACAATTATTTGTTTCAATTAGTTATTACATATAACAATGGTCACGTATACTATATCCTTATATGCAATCTTTCCTTTATATATTACCACCTCTGAATTAACTACTTTTATGAATCTGGTGTCCATCTTGTTGTGTTAATGAGGTATGGCAACTTGAACTAATGCATATATGTGCCTGATCCTACTTTGTAGCTGACTGATAGTCACGTATATCCAGTTACTGTTGCTCATTCTAAACTTGATAAAAACCTACGAATAAATCTAGACTCATCATGACAGAAGCAATAACAATCAAAGCATTTCCAATATACTTTGTTGGATGTATAAACCAAGGAGTATTAATAACACATCGTAAACTAAACGTTTCTGTAGAAAAGTTGTTTTCTACGGAATAGGGTTGCTTATCCCATACCCAACCCTCCTTCATCGAGGCTTAAGACTAGCAGTATCCCTAAAAGGGCTACAGGCGATGGTACAAGTCTTCTCTAATAAACCTTGTTTGCAATCTCATAACCATTAAACAATATTTTTGTAGTCATTAACCATAATTTTCCTGTTCATAATTTCGGCAGCATATTCAACATTTCCATTAGGAACGAATTACTATTTATGTTGTCTTCGATGCATAATCTTTTCAATCACCACTAATACTGTTTTTACCTCGACTGTTCCGGGATTTGGCAACTTGAGTCCATATACGTACCAGGTTTTACATTATAAATTAACTGATTGGATTAACACTCGTGACCAGGGGTCGTTTATCACTCGTATAGGTAGTTTTCCTGTGTGTAGTAAGCTCTTAGCTGATTCCAAACGTGTGTATGCAAATAGTGTCGTTCGTCCTAACTTTCGGTAGTATAAACACCAGCTTATCGCACACAAATACAGCATAATAATACCGAGATTTTTGTTTTGTTTCATTCACTTTGCTTTCGTTACTACAAAAAATATGGAATTCATCTGTTAACAAGTATATTTGGTATAAGCTAAATTCTTTTCTCAAACTAATACTTGGTTCACCAATATTTTCCTTCCCATTTCAGATAATCAAAAAAAAAGAAACTAGATAATCTATCGCCAATGTACATACTCTGTAAATTCAATAATTAAATTATAAATTTTAATTTCAAATCGATGTATCCTGTGTGTTAACATCATAATTCGTTCTCTTATGTATAAATACTGACGGGTTTGTGACATGTATACACTTAATCAATCAGGTGTTTGTGAAGAAAACTAAACAGATATGTATATCCAAACATAATCTAAGTGCTGAGAGTTTATTTATGCCTGTGTCGGTACCCAATTAACTGCTGCATGATTCACCTGTCCCTTAATAATGATGAGTTCTCAAGTCGCCAGCTGAAACCTCCGTTTATACAAAACAAGGTTACCCAACCGTAGCCACTACCTTGCCATAGTGGTTGAGATTTTCCATCGTGATGACTCAACCCAGCTATATTGACTGAAACATGTTTCTTCAGGTCTTACTATACCAAGTCGGCTTAGGAACGGCAATGTTCTGTTCGACTAAACGGGGCTAATAACTCGAAAAGATAGTGACACACTCGGTTGCCTTTTTTGTCGCTGCAGCCCAGGCGAAATAAACGATGAATTTTGTGGGAAGCTATTTAACCTCACTCAAAAGATTGAACGCCCTGATGTAATAATGGTGGGTGATTTTAATGCTCAGGTTGGCAGACTAAACCAAACAGAGATACACTTAAGCGGGTCATACGGTGTTGTGGCTGAGCGAACAGATAACGGCGACCGTTTGTTGCAACTATGCTCAGATAACCATGTATTTCTAGCAAACTCCAACTTTAAACATGCGGATAGACATCGTCTGATGTGGCGACCTCCACAATCGACTCATTGACGAACTCAAATAGATCACATTGACACTAATCATCCTTGGAGAGGCTTAATAGAAGGCTGTCGTTCACTCTGGAAAACATGTTTGGACTCTGATCATGCTCTAGTCCGGGCACATATTTGTCTGCATCTTACTGGACGTAGAAGAGCTACAGCAAGAAAAACCTTGAAGTTCGACCTAATGATGAACAAGTTAGGAATATGTTTCAAGTACAACTGGAGGAATTCGTCAACCGTGGAAGTGATATCCACAGCACTGGCATCTACCAGTAACTTATATTAACAGATTGGGAAAAATCAGATTTCTGGGGCGTCTACGAAATTGATGGATGCTCGTAAACTCACCCCGTCTGTTTCCGAACACTATGAAGACCGGAGGCAGCCTTTACATACGCTTATAGAAAGCATACGTAACAATCGTTGGTGGCGAATAGCAAAAGCGGAATAGATGGAAAAAACGGGAGCGTTAGGTATTAGTAGGCAATTGTTATTGATGTTGGAAGAAATATAAGTAATCTGACGCAAGTGGCAGCATTAGAGTCTGACGGACTAGTCTGAGATTTTTGAAGGCCATGGCCCTTTTTTCTGCAGCCAACTGCAATTTTAGATAAAATCTGGGGACTGGACGTCATGTCATATGACTGGTCCTCTCAGTCATTAAGAAAGGACAAAAGTTCCCTTTCGATAATCAAAGAGGAATCAGTTTAACTAATGTAGTGACTAAAATATTAGCCTCAATAGTACTTCGACATATGACCAGAGCTCGTGAAAAAAACCGAGGAAATTAGCCTGGTTTCAGACCTGAACGTGGATGCATAGACCAATATTCACCCTTCGATACGTTCCAGAACATGCTTCTCGATGTTCAACTATAGCTGTAGCGGCGTACAACTCTGATTGCAAGGTTCTTTGGCAGTCTCATTGAAAGGCATCACAAAGAAGTACATTAACCTTGTACAGCTTTTCTACACGACGCGCGATGCTGGCTAGTGTTGGGGATAGTTGGAAGTTAGGGGTGGTCAAACCAAAACGTGGCATCAGTGCTTGGAGTCACTAATTTCTGGTCTGAGCCATGTTGGTAGACGCAGGCTACTTGGTTGGGGTCCGCATGACTATCGTAACCAATGGTGGGAGACTGAGTGACATGGCTCAGAATCGATCACAATGGCGTCGGTACATGCACTCTTTGTCTTCCCTTAAACTATTTTGCTTCCTGTACTATGTCCTTATATGCAACCCTTCTTTTATATATTACCACCATTGAATTAACTACTATGAATTCGGTGTTCATCTTGCTGTGCTAATGCGGTATGGCAACTTTGATCGATACATATATGTGCCTGGTCCTACGTTATAGCTGACTGACTACTCAAACAGACAGGTTATGTTCATCGTCGGGCCAGTCCACTTCGTTATAGACACCCTTCTAAAGACATCGCTCATGGTCTGAATCTTCAGGAATTGGTCTTTTTCTAGGAAATTCACTTGCTAACTCAGAATACGCAGATGATAGGATTCTGTTGTCAAAACAATGCAAACGTGTTTAGAGTGATTTTCTTTCTAATTAGTAAAATGTTGCTTCAGGATTGGTGTCAGCGCCTGAATTAGTGGTAGAGAGTGGAGTATCAACCGCTTCATTTATATTTGGGAGTCTCATCAGTCCTGATGTCTAACGGAATCTCGGAACGGATTCAGAGGGTTCGACTGACTTTTGCCAACTTGCGTTTTAGGAAAGATATCCGTCTTTTAACCAAAGGACGAGTTTAATGCCCATCAGTTCGCTCCGTTCTAACTCATGGATATGAAACGTGGCCATTAAAAACAAGATATCCACAGGTCACTAGTATCCGGTCAAGGATGTCTTCTAGGTTTTGCTCATATATTTTGAGACCACTGAGTAAGAAATGCTTGGGTTAGGAATAGGGTACTAGGTGAGCATGGCAAATCGGCTGATGAGGTAGTAAATCTTTATAAACGGTAGTGGTTGGGACATGTGAGTTATGTCCAACCACTGCCTACCTTGACGGAAGATGTGTGGTGTAGTGTGTTGAAGGAAAGGTACGGGCAACCAAACCAAAGGATGGCACCAATCCACGAAGTCATTTAAAACTGGACTGAGCCACGTTAATAGGTGTAGACTACTTGAATGGGTTCCATGTGATTATTGTAACCAATTGTTGGAGACTGAATGGTATGGCTCAAAATCGTTTGCAATGGCGCAGGTGCATCGATTATTTGTCTTCCCCCGAATTCTGAGATTCTAAACCCCTCGTTTTGTTTTTATTTCACTAATTTATATCTTTTTCTCGAATCGTATTTTAATCCCCAATATTTTCTATCAAAACTCATACTGTTTCTAACCCTATAATTCTGGGAAATGGTCTGAAATGTTTATCACTCAATGTTGCAACTTGAACTGATGTATATACGTACCAGGTTCTACGTTGTGACTGACTGTTATTTTACGTGTTCTTGTTTGCACATATCCTGTCAGTCCATCAAGAAAATAAAACTGATTGAAACAGTAAGCCATTAAAAAATCGTTCAGTATTTAATCGCGTCTGAATATTGGTTGCTTAATTTAATGTTGTGAAAAAAACTTGTTGGGATCAGATTATTAACTTGGTCTGAATTCGACAGCCTTAATCATCATATGGCAAAGTCTTTTTGGTTGCATGTAGCCTCTTGAAGTATAAACATGTTTAATCCAGACCTAATGATTAAAAAACCAGTGAGCGTTCTCAGAAGTAATATTCTTTGCTGCAATAGGACACTAGTTTACACAAGTAACTAGTAGTCGAAGTGAGCAGATAGAATCCCAATATTTCTGCAGCGTATATTAAATACATGTCACATGCAATAAGTTGCAAACATTATTGCGCAAAATGGAATGAATACATAGAAATAGAGGTATAAACACCAAATGTTTATGGTATTCAGATTGCATGATGTGAAAAGATGAAAAACAGAGTCAATCGCAAAGTAAACATTGACAAAAAAGACAGAAAATAAGATTAAAGATCAAAGTGAACTATTTACATATGAGTTTTGAAAGAGATGTTTCAAAAAGTATTGCAGACACAAGGACACTAGACTAAAAAACACGCTCATAATACGAATTGTCATCTGGTAAAGGTGGACGACGATTAGGATGCATGATGCCAGGCCCACTAAGATAATTCATTTGCTGCCCAGGCCCAACAACTGGACCACGTACAATCCCTGGACGATTTGCTCCTTGTAACATGCGACCACGAGCGTTATTTGACGACAAGAATTCCAGATAAGATGTCCCGGATTTGGAAAAAGATCGCAAGTCACCTACTGGAGGATCTTCATAAAAATAGTCATGTGAAAGCGCCTGCTCAGCATCAAGACGTTTGCTGGGATCTAAAACAAGTAATTGGTCAATGAGATCTACAGCAGCAAGCGAAGAAATTTTGGGGGTCAATTTCTCTCGAACATGTCGTTTAATGTCCTGAGGTAGACGAGCTTCTCTAAATGTTTCCAAACGTTCTACACCTGGCCATATTTCAGGTGTTATAGATCCGCAGAGATTAATGATAAGGTTCAACTGACTAATCTCGTTGTCCCCCTAGAAAAATGCAATACCAACAAATTTGATTGAGAAGAAATCCAGAGACCTTTTTCCAATACGCTTCTTTATATTAACTGGACCAAAAAAATTAACAGTCATACAGTAGAAATAATCAACCATTATTTAGAAGAAATGAAAGTAGGAAGAGAAACTACCAGTTTATCTAACACTGCACTACATGGTTGATGACTGATTTCGATGTATGAATCACTTCAGTAACTGTGATCTAAGTACATTAGTTCATCTATCATTGAATTAAGTCAGTCCAGCAAAGTATGGATTGACACCATTGGTTCGTTTATTCTAAATTATACACGGATTTCTATTATTGTTCTTTTACAGTCGTTTTACTATACTTTAAGTTCCAACCAAATACATCAAAGATACTTGTTATTAAAACCTTGTCGACTTAATACTTGTTGCACGGATCGAAAGTATGCAGATAGACTTCATAGACTGAACAAAAATCTGGAGGCGATTTTAATAAATGCTCACAATACAACCTATCGAAAAAAATTTTCACCAGAATTATAAATGTTGCATTTATTACCTCCGTCTCTCCAAGAGCCGCGTTACTGATGGTTTTTCAAATAAAACTAATAAGATTCATTTAAACTATTCCATTGCATACTTTATGTTCGCACTTGAGTCATAAGATTACTTCGAAGTTTGTATTTTTA